ATTAATTTTAGTGATGTTGAGACATGTTGATCAAACTTATGCTGGTTCAATGGAACTATGACGTCATGGCGGCTTTCTCTACAACGGGCCCTCTGGTGATAATGTGTGGAACTATAATGGCAACGTTTTTGATGGCATCACTTCCCTCCCCTGTTGCCCAAGGTCGGTACGCATGTGGCGTCCTCTGCCAGCATGCCTGGCAAGAGACCCCCTAACTACTTTAATAGTTTTGCTATGAATACGAAACACAAGATTATTCTCAACTTTTGTAACTTTTTCTTGGAAGAAGAAGAAACTAATTTATAACTGGTGAACAAAGAAAGAATATTTTAATCCAATCGCATTTTGACGTTTTATTGATAAAAAATTCAGAAGTATATTGATAATACTTATAACAAAGTTTAAGTTTATAAATAATAAATTATAAATGAGTAATATGGATTCCAGAAAAATAAAAATACTACCTAACTTTTATTCTGATGAAATTGTAACCGAACATTCTCACCCTTTCGGCCGTGGGGGCGTTATAATGTGTTGATCAATCCAATTATTAAAGAGTGGTCCAAGAGATGGCGATGGTTGGTGTTGGCCACCTGCCTTCCTTCTTGTCTATAACTTCAAAATTAAGGACGACTAGTGCAGCTAACCCTAGGGTAGCTTTATGTAAAATTTTACAAACTGATGAAATTAATAACAACTGAAAATAAGGTAAATTTGTTTGATCAAGTTTTTTATTGATTGAGACGAAGTGTTAGTATTACTAATAATATGATTATTCGGACTGTTATTCTCGTCTTTATTATGTATTATTATTTTATTTCACAGAGTGAATTCTTAGGCCGTCTGTATTCGTCACAATCAGAAAGTTTTTTTTTGTCGAATCACCAGGTTTCGAACCCATGGAACTCGAGTGTAGAAGAAAGCCCGATATGGCTTCCAGTATTACGAAAAATTTGAGACAAAAATTACTAGAGATAAAAAGTATTAATAATAATAATAACAATAGAGGTACTTCCAAAACATCTTTTAAAAAAGCCAAGTGGTTAGAGTACCCGTATTCGGGTTCGGGGGTTCGAATTCTGATAATTCCATAAAAAAGCTTTCTGTTTTTGAAGTTTATAATTTTTTTTATATAATGCCTGACGACGACCGTAGAATTCACTAGTCGGAACGCTGTTAAAAAAATAATAATACACATAATAAAAACGAAAATAATAGTCAAAATAATTATACCATTACTAATATTGACAACGCTACAAACGTCTATGGTTAAGTGTGACAACAACATCAACAACGCTACAAACGGTTATGGTTGGGTGTGACAACAACGTCAACAACGCTACAAACGGTTATG